TAGAACTAATAAGAATGAGTTTGGCAAGATTACTAGATATCTGACAATGTGAAAGTATCAATTGCATTCCTATGTATTTACAGGAATTGCATTCCTGTAGAAAGATACCTTTTATAATAGCAACCAAAACTATAAGATGCCTAGGAATCTGCCAAAAGAACTTTATAAATTATATATTTGTGAAACATTAAAAGACATAAGAGAAGATCTAAATTAATTGAGGGGATATACCATGTTTATGGAAGACTCAAGATTACAATGATGTCAGTTAACCTTACAGGCCCATTGTATTAACAAATGCCAGTTGTAGACTTGGATTAATGGAAAGGCCAGATACGAGCACTGCTTATGAAATTAAACAGTTTACTTGGTGAAGGAATTAGAAAGAAGGAGTTGGGTACACTGTAGAGAATTTGATAATATTCTGCGGGGCAGTTGGAGAAGTTTCTCAGCCTCATATTCTTCACCAAAGGGGTCCATAGTTAGGGATCACAGTGTTTGAATGAGTGAGAGTCACATCACACTTTATGAAAGTGCGCCTGTCCCCCTCCATGCCTAGTGTTATATACATAATGTTGGAGCAGACTTGCACATGGGATAGCCCGGGTAGAGACTATACTCCTAGGACAAGTTTTTAGGATTATATACAGTGTCCAAAACTTAGGAACCAAACAGACTAAGATAAATTTTTTTTTTGAGGTAGGGCTATTTGGAGAAACCATGATCCCTCACTATCCCACCTAGCACTACTTGCTATCTGAAACTCAGACAAATACCATACTCCAGATCCAGGTAACAGTATTCCTTGCTATTATAATTCTTTATGCAGACTCTTGCTATCCTTACTCAGGTCTGGAATAGATTCAAGATCATCGTAGGGTGCAGTGCAGGAGAGTACACTCAGGCCTGAGCACAGGCCTCCTTTGTTTTCTTGGCCTCCTCAGGGTAACCTGTGCATTCCTGAACTCAACAGGAAAGAAGTAATAAAGGCCAGCTCCCAGGTTTTTTTATTTTTTTTTTTATTTTTTTTTAATTTTTTTTTTTTTTAAAGATTTTATTTATTTTATTTTTTTTCCCCCCAAAGCCCCAGTGGATAGTTGTATGTCGTAGCT